GCCAAGTAGAGCGGCCTCTCTTCCAATCATAGCGCGCCACGTGGTAATGAAATAAATGATATTGGATTAATGATCTTTTGGTTATTATGGAGCTCCACTCCTAAATCTTAATTAATCATATATTACACATGAGATATGCAACTCACAATGGAATCAACGTCTTTCATAATACACTATAACATGATGACCAGCCACCCTAATTCACATATTTCCTATAGCATTTGTTGCAATGGTTCATATATAGGGTCTCTTTGGTAAATTTAGATACTTTGGTTGAAATAATAATAAAATTTTATAATAACATGTGAACATGTTATATCATATTTATCTTTATTATTTAAAGATAAATTAAATATTAGATCAAATATATTATGAAGATTATGAGTAGGATTACTATAATATAAACTGATAATAGTTTAACCAAACAGATTTAATTGTTTTTATTTCGTTGTGATAAATTATTATTATTATTATTATTATTATTATTATTTATGTATTTGTTTCCAGATAATAAAGTTACCGAAAGTACATCTCCTATCTCCTGTAGTGTATTATTATGGATGGTAAAGTTATAAAAAGAAACAATTATTTCCATATTGAGAAGAACAAAAGTTAGGGAAAAAAACAAGCTTTTCTGACGATATAATTTTGTTTTAAAATTTTACCTCAATTTGACGTTAGAATCTAAAATAAAATACTGGTTATAGACGCTAAAATCACAATTAATTATTGATATTAACTCATCTTTAGTTGACATAAAATTAATTATCATTTAAAGAGACTTTTCCTTTCTAAATGATAGATATTTTGCATTATTTTTTAAAAAAATTTATGTATATATAGGCATATTTTTCTGTCTCTATTGTTAATTTGATCATATTTTGAAATGAAAAATATATATACACAATATTGTGGCGAAAGTGTCTTCCATTTCGGAAAGTAGAAAGGGGGATTTGCTTGGTTCGTTGTTAGAGCTTTTTATATATATATAAATGTGAATATGATTTTGCTAAAATTGTGGCTCTAATTAAGTCCCTTTTTCAGTTTAATTTGTCTTTAATTTTTTGCTTAAAACCCTCATTTCGTTTACATTAATTTACTAATTAGTTACCAGTATTGACGACCCTCACACTCCTAAAATTCTTTAGAAACAGAAAACGACGAGTATATAATATATAATTTTGGCATAATTCAATAACTAAAAACAAACTTTTATAATTAATTGGAGAGTAAATCTAATACGATAGGATTACGTAAACAAATATAAATTTTAGAAGTTCAACCATTAATGGGCAATATCTTTTGAATGGTGTCCTTTAGGATTCAACTGTAATTTAAATATATCCAATATTAAACTTTATATTGTTGTGTATAGGCGGGTGTTACATTTTATATTTAGCGTTTGTTTGAAAGATGGAATAAAACTTTAAGTACATAAAATATTTTATAGTGACGATGCATGCTATTAGGGGTATAGATACAAACTTCACCCATATATATTTTTTAGTCTATCAATACACAACATATCTGTAGATTATATTAATCATGATTATTATTGGATTGAAATTAATTTATTATCTAGTGATTAAGGAAAACAAATATGCCATCTTATATAACGCAATACATTTTTTCTAGAAGCAAAATTTGATAAAGCGAATTTTACTGAAGTACTTTATAACAAAAAAAAATGTATATCTTTTGACCAATTCGTGATCTAAAAATAATGAGGAATTTATTTATCATTTATCTTCTAGGCCTAGAGAATACTTATGATTTGGGGTATTAGACGCTCCCTCATCATCATTATTTTTGCCCTTTATTTCCATTTTGTAAATAGAATATGTATAAAGCATATAATATAAATATATAGAACAAAGATTGTTCCGAAAATAAATTAATAATATTGTAATATGTAAAATCTGAACAATAATCACGGTGGACTTTCTTTAGAAAATATATGTATTATTAATCACAAGGCAAAACCTAAAACGATACTTTTTAACAAAATGTTTTCTTAGTTTTTTTAACATTTACATATCTTATAGAAAAATATTAATGTATTTCTATGCTTGGATTCTTTCATTTATCCAACTTATAGAAAAACAAAATGGAAAAAATAAAAATAAAAAACAAAAAAGAATCCGGGAGTTTGCCCCACGTGTGCAAACAACAATATATGAGCTTTATAATTGTTAACACAAATATAGATATAATTACATTACATATATATACAATTAAATACAATAATTAGGCTTAGAAATTATTGTAGATGGCTCAACTGCTTTTGCTTGGGATTCCTACAACCGTGTGGGCACCTCGCTTTAGAAACTTGAGCCAACTTTTCTAAAACCCTAAAAACCTCTCTCTCTCTCTCTCTCTCTCTCTCTCTCTCTCTCTCGCTCTCTCTCTCTCTCTCTGGCTTTTTTAAATATTATTCAATGCACGCTCTCCCTATACCCACAAGCTTGTGGGAATCCAATGCCCTTCTTAATATCGTTCTTAGTGTTGCTTATCAAATTTGATTTGGGTTCATGGCGCCTTAATCATCGGATTTGAGATCCCATCCAACGTCCATATGATCATCGGTGCGTGTTGGCGTAGGCATTTACCACGTCGAGTGTTTTGTAATAACTAAAAGAGATTTGATAATGTATAAACAATTATCGTATATGCAATATATATGGTCTACAAAATATCTAAATAGAGATATAGAATATAAATCATATAAATGTTTGTACGTATCTATTATTGTTTCGGGTTTTCTCGATGATGATCTATAGTTTGTTCAATCACAATCGTTTATGTCATATACGTGAAAGACTGTGGAATTGATACACTATATGGAAGCTCGTATAATACTGAGAAATATATCGTATATTTCGTACATGCAAGATTTCTAAATACGGTCTTGGTCACTGTTTTGGATAACATAAAGGTATTAAATTTGAAATTTAATAATTTCATGGGGTTTAGGAAAGAAATTCTAAATATGCTTTTTCAATAGAAAACTGGCATCCTTACAGGATTTAAGGTTGCTTGTCAGCTTGGTTCTTTGACCAAATTACACGGAACGCCGCTAACTGCCTGTTAAAAGAAAATGTGATTATATCATATAATTTAATTTTCATCACATGATTTTAAACAACCGAATTCATTGTTGTCATTTCAAAATGCATTTCACATATATATGTGTTATTCCACCGCATTTAGTTGCAAATCTTTGACCATTACAAAAATGTGTCTTTGCTTTATGAGGATATATATATATGTATATATATATGTATACATATAACCACGTCCTAGAATTTCCGATCAAGGTCTGTTCATCACGAATACGTAAATGCGTTATACATAAAACCTTTGTATACGTGCATATATATACATGCTGATACACATGCATACATTAAATGCACGTGTATGCGCATATACCTGTATATATATAACTATACAACGACAATGTGCCATCGCATGTGTGGTAATGTGACATAAAGCTTTAGAAAGAAAAGAGAGAGAGAGAGAGACGAGAGAGGAAGTTTTTGAGAATTCTGCAAAATTTTCTTTTCTTTATTGAAAGTTGAGAGACCCATCTATTTGCAGTGACAGATTGTAAAATTCATCATCCTATCGACCCATTTTTATTCTCTTACAAAGATTCCTCTATCTTTTATATGCGTGTATATATGTATATGCATATGTATATGTATATGTATATGCATATGTATAATAACAAGGAATATTTATTAGTTTATCCTATATACTCGATAAAACATCTTCATATATACACACGTATAATTGATTTTGGATTTGTAGTTTTCTAAATATTAAAAACAACAAAATACGTTATATATAATCAAATATACGATACACTTTATCGGTTTAACATCGAATTAAATTATCTAAATGTTTGTTAATTTTGTCCAATTTGATCGATAGATCTATATATATTAATCGTTACCAGATGAGACATAAATACGAATATTAATAAAAACGATGAATAAAACAAGGGAGGTGGTCAAAATGGGAATGGGGAAGACTGCCTCAGATTTGACGAGAATGTGTCAGAGACATCAAAGCAAAGCACATGAAAATAAAATAAAATAAAATAAAATAAAAATGTATTATTATAATTTATCCTTTATTTTTCTCAAAAAATAACAACACTCTAAAAAATAAATAGGAGTCGAATAAAGATTAATTAAACATATCCACATTCTACTTCATTGGAGATACAAATCTATGTGAATTAAATACCATATATTTTTTTTTTAAATTAAATGTATAAAAGGGTTGTTAAACATACGATGATTCAAATGCTAAAGAAATTGCAAAATAAAATAACCATTTTTCATTTGATAAGCACGTAAATAAAAAATAAAGAATTATAAAGACAATGTGTGGTTGCACTCACTCATGGTAAATGCAGAGCATGTCCCGAAGTTGGGAGCTTGTGTGTAATGTAGGAGCGGTAGGACCAAAACATGAACATAATTACAACGTCACTTTTATTTGTTTATTTATTTTATTTCATTATCTTGGCAGTCACATTATTTGTCTGATTACAATCATAATAGGACAAGATCATTAGCTGCAGACAAGGATTTATATGACTGAAACAGCCACTTGAGCCTGTTCCTTTTTTTTTTTTTCTTTTTGAAAAAATAGTTTTTTATTTATTTTGGAACTTATTTTTATTGGTTATATATGCCACGGACACGATATTCTTTCTTTAAATTGATTAAAACCCATTCAAAAGAGAAACATATAGTTTTTTTTAGAAATTGGATAAAAATGCAATAAAATGTCTTCAAAGGAATGAAAAAAAAAAAGGTTTTTACTTGGAAAATTTCAGCCAATGGGCCGAGAAAATTGACAATGGCCCATTTAGATGAATAACAGTGAGCCAGATAGGCCCATTTGTCATAACCAACCCCAAAATTATCCACTTTATAATCCAAAGAATGAAAGATTTACAAAAATAAAAAAACGAAATGAAACAAACATAAAAAAAAAAGAAATTATAACGAATATTACACTGATAATATATACGAAAAAATATTCTCTTATTTTTCTGACAACAATATGTGAGCGTGCAAATTTTTGCACAACGTTTTATGGAATGCAGATACATCTCTTTCCAAGCTTAGAATTATGTAACATACATATTCACATATCACACACTACGGTACGGTTTCTGGTCGGAGCATACTCACCGCCTGGCGCCGCTGCCCCCGCGGCTGCCGAGGTCAGCCGCCGCCTTGGCTGCTCGATCAAGTGCGCCGGAAAACCAAAGAGCGCCTCTGGAGAAGTAACTGCTGTTAACTACGGTGGTTGCCACCGCGGCAGCTGTTCTTCCGGTGGCCGAGACAGCTGAACTCACCTTGTCCGAAACCTGGTACTTTTGGTCTGCCAACCTGACGGCTTCAACTCCGGCGAAGATTCTGTCAGTCAGACCGATCCTCCGATCCATTTCTGACACTTTGGCCGCGGCTGTGGCTGAGACGCCGTGAGATTCCTCAAAGGCTTTAGCTTTGGTTAAGGCGTCTTTGCCCAGATCAAACCCCGTAGCCAGCATCGTCTTGGCGATCTCTTGAGCTTTTGACACCGCTGCTCCTGCGTTAAATTCAACTCCCTGGGCAGGGGCCTGCGTGATAAGAATGACGAGTTTAGATGTAAGGGGAGGATACATACTATATCAGGACGATCAAACCTCGACCGGATACAAGAACATTGACACGGTTGAAGTCAGGGTTTTCAGTAACATTCTCAGCAATCTGCGCAACAAACGTATACAGAAATCTAAATTTCATCCATATTAAGCCCATATCATTACAATTCCAGTTTCTAGCTCCAAGCGATGTGTATGATCAACTGACAATTGCCTATGCCTTGGCTTTTACCGATACATGCATAGGGAAACAGTGGATGCGGGTTCTATCATCAACACAAACAAACCAAAAGATTAAAGCTGAATAAGATGTAAAAAGATTCATACATGTGAATTGGATTCATCATCGAAGCTCCTCGGAGCCGCATTCCAAAATTCAAATTCAGATTGATGGTGCTGTCCCCAAGGGGTTATACAGACACGCTGATCCAATATGGTCGGCCCCTGAGAAATCGAAAAGAGTGCCGAGGAAAATATGCAATCTAATCCAAGTGTTGTAACGGAGATACAGTACTCACGCTGAGCAAAACAGCGGTTTCCTGGGAATACGAATCCTTGAAAGTGACGTAAGCTGTGCAGGCTTGCTCACCCGACCTATCTCGTTTACAAAACGCCGTCTTTCAGGATCGAGAATACGCGACGAACCCAATATGATCTCAGCAATTGAGGTTGAAGGAAAATCCAGAACAAGGGAAAGTCACCTGACAATGTCGATACTATCGATAGCACCAGAAAAGGAGAAGAAATCATAGAGATCCGTCTCGGTAACTGCGGGAGGCAAGCCAGTGACTTCCACGGCGTATCCGTGTTGATTATCCATTTTCCCAGATACCCTCCTGTTGAATCAGAGAAGAGCCTAGTCTTAATTCTTCCAAGCTACTGTACTCGGTCAAAACCATCCATGAACATATACTCCAAATCGCGATGAACAAGGCGATTTTAGAAATTCAGGATCTCCTTTTCCAATTTCTACCTCATCAACAACAACGAGAACAACCTGATTTCCGTTGCGTATCCAAAATTAAAGTCCAGTAAACCACGGAGATTAGGTAGGATTCAAAGGTAATCAAGAGCTACAATCTCAGTATCACAATCAAGGGTTTCGTTTCTCAAAAATTTCCGGCAACGATAACCATTCGACCGAACACAACGGGAAAAAATATATGCATCAAGAACGTAGAATCGTTCAAAGATCGGACCATCAAAAAAAATATCAGAAGAAATCGAAGGATCGAGAGGGATAAACTTCACAAATAACTCATTCCAGTCGCATCTATTTCTCATCTACCCCACTAAAACATAACGTTTTAGTTAAAGTCGAGTTTACCCTTAATTTAGAAAAAAAGGACGTAAAAGTCCTTTTTTTGAATTTTTTATTTTTAAAAAGGACGTAAAAAAAGGACATAAAATAGAGCGTGTCAGCCTCACATACGAACAAACAATTGTATCATTGATTTCGTTTATTTTTAAGATTAAACTAATTTTATTTTATTTATTAAATTCAAAATCATAAAAAAAAATTATGAACAAAGAAAAAAAGATAGTACTAAAATTAAGAAAAATTATTGAAATACAAAAAAAAACCATTGAAAAACTAAGATTCTAACTAAAATCTAAACCACCAAATTCAGATTGACAAAAATAAAAAATTCAAAGAAAAATTTAACGAAGTATTCAATTGGTTGGATATTACTTGCAAAATAGTCATTTTAAAATAGTTAAAAGAAGTCGTAAAAGATAATGAACAACTTGTGTCATAATAATATATTAAAATATACTTTGACAAAAAATTATAAGCTTTAAAAATAAATTATATCTTTTTTGACATGTATAAACAATAAAAAATTATTTATTTTGTTATACAACGAAATAAATATTTTGTAACTTATTTATTACCATGATACGACTATTGTACGATTAGTTTACCATATAATTACGACTTTTGAATTTTATAAAAATGTAAAAAATCGTTAATTTTGATAACATTTCGTTGACATATGATAAATATATTTGAATTAATTCATAAACATAATACAAAACGTTTTGTTTCAAAATTATAATATCTTAGGTTATTGTTTAAAGAAGAAGTAGATATATCATATATATTTATTTATACTTCATCACAAACATAACAAAATATGACAAATATTTAATACCGAATTTGTGATCAAATATCTTTATGTTTTTGAAAATGTTCATCGTCATTGGATGAAATCTCTTCAAAATTAGCAATTTTTAAAGCTTTTACATAATTGAAATGTCGTAAAATTGAATTAAGATAATCGTACAATATTCGCGTTAAAATCGTACATGTATTTATTTTATTATATAATAAAACAAATATTTTGTAACTTATTTACTACTATGATACGATTATTGTACGATTAATTTACCACGTAATTACGACTTTGAAATTTTATAAAAATATAAAAAAATTATTAATTTTGATAACATTTCGTTGAGAGATGATAAATATCTTTAAATTAATCCATAAATATGATATACAAAAATTTTTGTTCCAAAATTATAATACCTCAAGTTTTTATTCAAAGAAGAAGTAATGTATCATACACATTTACTTATACTCCAATATATACTTAACAAAATATGACAAATGTTTAATACCAAATTTTTGTTCAAATAGTTTTATATTTTTGAAGGTATTCATGGTCATTTGACAAAATCTCATCAAAATTAACAACTTTTTACATTTTTAAAAAATTAAAATATCGTAAAATTGAATTAAAATAATCGTACAATGGTCGCATTAAAGTCGTATACAAGTTATAAAAAATGGTTTGGTAGTATAATAAAAAAAATATCGTTTTTTGTTAAGGTCAGTACACTTTTTCTAAAAAATTCAAAAAATAATATACTATATTTATTTTATTTTATTTTAATCTAATATATTCTTTTTGCACGTTTTTTATTTGGAAAAGGGAGGATATTTTAGTATTTTTATATGTAAGGATATTTAAGTAATTTATCATAAAAGTGAGGTATTTTGAAAAAGAAAAATTTGCGTCATTTTTTAAGAGGTAGATGAGAAATTGATGTGGCTCAAAAGGAGTATTTGTGGAGTTTGCCCGATCGAGAGCTGCGCATCTCTTTTTGACTTAACACAGACAAAGCATTTCTCCTCTCACAGCTGAGAGAGCACACATAGAAAACGAAGCTGTTGTTTTCAAAATCAAAGGGCCAAAAAGTTTTATATATACACAATACAGAACGTGTACATATAATACAAGATTAAATCATATTACATATATATATGTGTATGTAGCAAAACGTTGTCGTTTTACTTATAAGAGGACTAGGGGTGTCAATAGAACCCGAAGTTCGAAGTCCGGTCAGAAACCCACCCGAAAAATTAAGGATTTGGGCCTAATAATATAGATCCGGTAAATAAATAGACGGGTTGGCCCGGCCCGAAAAAAGTTAGGGCCGAATCGAGTCCGATCCCAAACCCGCCCGACCCGCCCATTTAGCACGAAAAAATACTATATTATTAGATTTTTATTTTCATTTGAGATTTAATACCACATAACATTATATATTGTATGTTATATATATATATATATATATATTTCAAAGCAATTTGATTTATATATATTAAACTTATATTATATATATATATATTATTAAACAATTTAATTAGATTTTGGTTTAATTATTAAATTTTAATATTTTTTTAATTATAATTGATATGGACGAAAATTTGCTATTGTTTTTTTTTTAAATTGTTAAATTATTATTATTGTTATTATTATTATTATTATATATTAATATTTATTTTTTATTAAATAGAAAAAACTCGAAACTCGACCTGAGCCCGTCTGAAATTTTATAGGGCCGGGCTCCGAGCCACCGATCATAAGTCCGAAAAATAAATGGCGGGCCGGCCCGCCCATTTTACACCCCTAAAGAGGACTATGCAATAAATTGGGCCAAAATTATGGTGGCCCAAAACTCTCTCTGCAGAACCTCAAAACCCTCGAGTTTCAAGGGTTTTTGGGGATTCCGGGGACTTTTCAGGTCTGGCATTCTCCGTTTGATTGAATTCGAGGAGAAGATGGTGCTGTCGAACAAGAAGCTGAAGCAGAAGATTCGGGAAGAATTGGCGGAGTCTCTATCCGCCGAAGCTGCAGGACCCGTTTCGAAATCCGACCGGAACTCGCAATCCCAGTCTCTGAAAGAGCTCATAGACTCCGCAAGCCACAAACCCAGGTTGTCGAAGAGGGAGAAACGAAGAAAAACCCAACCTTCTGTAGGATCAGACGGGTCTAACACCGGAATCGGCGAGAAGGAGGAGGTTGAAGTGGTGGGTGATGCTGCAAATGGTCAGAGAAGTCAAGAGACTGATAAGAAGAAGAAGAGGAAGAAGAGGAAGAGAGACGATACTGGGGCCAACGAGTTAGGAGAAGAAGGAAAAGGTAGTGTAGATAAGGGAGCTGACGAATTGAACAAGAATAAAACGAAAGAAAAGAAGAAGACGAAGAAGAAGAAGCCGAAGAAAAAGAAGAAGAAGACAAACGAGACGCAGAAGGAGGCTGGTGAAAGCAATGCAGAAAAGAATGTTGCAAAGGAAGAACCGAAGATAGAGCAGATTCCAGTTGACACAGACTGGTAAGCAGAAAACTTTCTAATGTTTCTCAGGTTAATAAACACTGAAAATGCTTAAAGGGATAACCTGTTTCCGATTCAGAGGATGGGTTATATCCAAAATTTGTTCCTTTGATAGCATTTTAGTTGTAAGTAATACTCATCGTATGTCGGAATACCAAGTGAAAATCTGTGCCATTTGTGTTTCTAAGATGCCAAATGATGTTTGCTTCCCGTGTCTATGCAGTCAAGCAGATGGGGTCGTTCCTAGGAAATTGTATGTTGGTGGAATTCCTTATCACTATACAGAAGATGAGATCCGGAGCTACTTGAGAAATTGCGGTGTCATAACGAATATCGATTGCAAGATGCGTCCTGAGGATGGCACATTCAGTGGCATTGCGTTCGTTACCTTTGAAGTAAGTTTTAGTTCAATCTGGCATCATCACATCACACTTGCCTTGTGCTTTTTAAAAAGAATCATTTGCAATATTGTTCTGGTTGTTCTACAGAGCTTGTGAGTATCACATTTTATAATCCTAATATCCCAAACGTAGGAAATAAACTCACGTGATTTGTTTCCGAGATTTGAAATTCTGTTTAGTTCGATACTAGATTACCCTTTGATTGATTCAGAGGTTTGGTCGGAAGTTATTTGAAATGCCGATACTTGAACAAGAGTACGGACTTTCAAAGAAATGGAGGGTGAGGCTAATTTTGTGACCAAGATTCATATAAGACAGTTACTAACTTACTAGCAATAGAGGTATTTCTGTATGGATGGGCAAGAACAGAATGTATTTGTGTTTTATTTGAGAAAAATCTTTCTTATGCTGAACCTTACGTTTTCTTATCGTTTACAGACTGAAGATGCCGCTAACCGAGCTTTAGCTCTCGACAGAGCCGCAATGTAAGTAACGGGCCCATGAGAGTGGTAGCATTCCAACACTTATATCATTTAGAAAGTTCTCCTCGTAACTAAAACCTGCATTAACTTGTCTGCCAGGGGTGATCGGTTTTTAACGATACAGCAATACGTGAAAACCCCGTCAAGAAGGAAATCAGGTTTCAATCCAGACATGGTAGATGGCTACAACAGAGTGTATATAGGGAATTTACCATGGGACACGACGGAGCGTGACATAAGAAAGCTCTTCTCTGACTGTGTTATAACATCGCTGCGCTTGGGAAAGAACAAAGAGACAGGAGAGTTTAAAGGGTACGCACATGTGGATTTCAAGGACAATGTATCTATGGCTATGGCATTAAAGCTGGATCAACAGATTGTTAGGGGAAGACCCGTCAAGATCAGCTGTGCAGTTCCTAGAAAAGCGGGGAATGCCGATGAAGTTGAGAACGCGGAAGAGACTTATGGAACTGATTCGATACCCGAGGAGGCTATGGCTGGTGAAGCTTATAACGCCGTTTTCACGAGTGAAACGGCGACTGTTAGTAGCGGCAAGATCAGGAGGAGGACTTGCTATGAGTGTGGAGAAAAGGGTCATCTCTCTTCTGCTTGTCCGAAGCTGCAGCAAAATGCCGATCCGACAGAACCAGATGCAACTTGAACACAAGGTTTTGAAACTTCGCTTGCGAGAGTGCATGTCTTCTGTACTGTTTCTTTTCCTTTTGATCTTATGGATCATCAGACATTCTCTTGAATGATGAGTTTATTATTGGAATTAAATATTTAAAAAGAAAATAAGAGCTGGATCTGTTTTTTGTTTTTTTTTGGGTAGCATTATTGTTTATAAATTATTCGAATACCGTATAATTGGAAATATGCTACAAATAAATTTTGTTGTGTTTTATTTAAGAACATGAGATATTTAATAAACTCGGTAAGGTCGTTTAACCCTTGAATGTTTACAATTTCTGGTAAACATAATAATATAGTTATTAACATTTTTATAATATCATGTTTTTTTTTATATTGAGGATGATTCGTAGCCCAAAATTCTGATCTTGGCATTTACGGGTCGAACAATGCAAAGCATATTTCAAAAGAATTTTGATATTTTTGTGTGAAAATGGATGTCAATATATATATATATATATATATATGTATGTAGAGAGAGAGAGAGAGAGAGAGAGAGATTGAAAGCTATTGGAAAAGGGGGTAATGAAAAAGACGTGCGCCTAACAAAAATGTTCGATGTTTTTGGTTAAAAATGAACGCAGGAAACATTATTATTCTTTGCTTTTGTGGAAAATGAATGCCACCGCCACTTTCAACACAATACCCCCACGTCTCCCTCTATCTCCCATTAAAAAAGAATTAATTAGAATATAAGATACATGAGAATTTATTACTTGGATTCCATCATTCATGAATTATAAAATTTGGTTGTAACCCGGGTTCGAATTTCCAGGGATAGACATTCACGTGATCGTTGAAACGAAGGCCCCATCAATTTTCGAATTATTAAAAAAAAATGGTTGTAACCAAATATTATTGAGTATATATACGAATTATAAATCTAATGTTATAACAAACAAACAAAAAACTCTTTCGGTGAACTATCTTTTTTATTTATTTATGAAACTCAGCGAACAGTCTTGATTTATATATATATATATATAATTTCAGATCAAAATTTCTTTAATTTTTGTGTTCCGCGTAACTTTAATTGACTATATGTTTTTGGTCCAATCAAAGAGCCCCTTCCAATTTGACGTCTCCCCTTTCCTCTTTATCAACAGTAATACGACGGTCTTTGTCTAGGAAAGACATATCCTTCGCAATAATTAGATAAATCAAATGAATTACACACACATATATTAATATATAGTATATCAGGGAAATATAAAATTCGGAATGAGCCGATATATGTTACAATCCCCATAGTTAAAATTACCAATGAAAAAATAAATAGAATGACGAATTTATTAATTTATCACATTAGCATATGTAAATAGGAAGAAAATAAAAGACGTTGACACCATTTAAAGTTTTAAACTCGATTTTACTAAGAGCACGTGTTGAATTACGCCCCTCTTTGACGTGCATGAGCACGTTGCGACGGACAAAAAGTGTACGTACCAGAAGTTGCCACGTCCGTCAAAATCTATAAATACTACGAATACACTTTTTTATTGACGGGAGTTCAATTCAATTACGTGTATATATATAGGAGATAATTTTCTGAGTGATTTCTGAAATATAAAATTAATCGGTTGGAAGTATTTCGAATAGATTTATAATTCTTCCAAATCCTCTTAGATAAACGTTAAAATCGTCACTAATGTTATATATATATATGTATGTATATATATATATGTGTGTATAAAATGTCGTGAAAATCATTTCCATTATTCTACAACTTTATATAATATCGTGATAAAAAATTATTCGACCCAAAAATCAATTACATTTGTTTTACATTGTTAAATATGTTTTTTCTATAAATTTTACAGTATCTTTGTAAAATAATATTTTATTTTACAATTTTTACCATATGATTGATTATACACTAACGATCGAGTGAGAATACAAAAATTAGTAATCTTATGTTATGACAAATAAACAACAACAAAAAACTTTCGGTGAACTATTTTAATTAATATTATATATATATAATATTATTTAAATCTCAAATCAATTGTTTGTATGTGTTAGAGAAACCGCGTAATTTTCCTATTGGCTATTTGTCTTTAATTGACTATTTTTTGTCCAATCAGAGAGCCCATTCCAATTTGACATCTCCCCTTTCCTCTTTATCAACAGTAATCGCTCTTTTCTTAAAAAAATACTTTTCTTTATCAATAATTAAATAAATTAAATCAAATTATACATATATATATATATATATATATATATATCAGGGGAATATGAATGCGGAATGAGCAGAAATATGCTACTATTCCCATAATCTAAATTTAATTATCAATGAGAAAACAAAATATAATGAGAAATTTATTAATGAAATTATATAAACTCGATTTTACGAAGAGCGCGTGTTGAATAAATGCCCCCTTTGACTTGCATGAGAAGGTAACGCAACATACAGAAAAGTGTATGTACGAGGAGGTTCCACGTCATCGCTATGACGCCGAACTCGTCAATATCTATAATACTATATTCATATACAGTTATACACACACATATATATATATATATATAGTGACCAAAAGATTATTATATTCTCAGTCTATGATGGTTCGAGTTTTTAAGACTTCTATCAATACTTTAATCCTATAAATGATTCTAATGGACATGTAAAATATTTTTTTAATGAATGTACTTGTAATCTGTGATTAAAAAAATATTCCTAAACACATATGGAATGACTTACCAATATAATTTTTTAAAAAAATGAGTAATAATATATGTGATTAAAAATGAATATAATATTAAACCATGAAAGTATTGTTTGAAAGGCATGTGAAATATATATATTTTTGGCATTAAAATAAATCGGTTAATTAGTTGATTAAGGAGGAGGATATATGCAGTGTACCCGTGAAAATTAATTAGTCCTGAGTGCCTTTTTCTCACCGTCCAATAATATGCCTCACATGGGAGATATATGCGTTATCGTAAGTGGTTAACACGTGGCACAATATCATTGGATACCAGCTGCCTCGTTCAAAGATTATAATAACCCCCCCCCCTAGTGCACGCCAGAATATTTCGGGTTTCGGCTGAAATTGACTAATTGAGCTCCAGCCTCTTTTTTTTTTTTTTTTTGTTCTTACGTAATTTAGAAATTTCACCAGAATTTACGTTAAATAATTTTTCATGTGTGTATGTATATAATTATATACACGGATAATCATATTTACAAAGTAATTAGATGAAAATAGCATTTTTTTATTATAATAAATTTATTATATAAAAAGTAGTTGTTGATACATCGAAGAAGGTGGCCCTCCTCCTCCTGTCATGATTCAAACAACTGTTAAAAAATCCGAATGAAATAATATATAGTAATAATAACAAGGACGATTATAAAAGCTAATGGTTAATAATAATAATAACCATAAATTCAACAAAAAAATAATAATAATAACCATAAAATATCATCATAGTATGTGAGCAGCCCCACGTGCCTCATGTCCCTAGACTAGATTGCTCTCCTCGCCAGCTTTCCCGTATTCCAAATATCTTTGTTCGGTTAATACTCGAATAAACACACACGCATATATATATATACATATAATCTCTTTCTTTGTACCATTTATTCAATTTCAATTGAAACAAATAGCATTTTTCTTGGACCTTCAGTGGACTTATTTAGATTTTTTAGTTACATAGTTTTTTTTTTCAGTATATATCTAGGTAGTGAGCTTTTATTATAATTAATTATTTAATAAATATATTATTGACCATTGGAAAATAAAAATTGAAGAACTTGAGACTTTAAAAGGAAAATTAAGGTTGAAGTAATGAAACTATTTTAGACACGTGGGATTTGGCGTACTTGACTTTTACAACGCATGCCGCTATTTTAGAAGACTAGATGGTTTCGACAAATCGAGACTTGAACTTTTTTTTTTACAAAAATATGATATATTTAAGTTATTAATTTATTGATAGTATTGATTATGTAACTATAATTTTTAAAACTTTTATTATTATATTTACATTCTTCCTATATACAAATTATTCTTTTTTATTTTAAAAAGCACTAGTTTCTTCATAAAATAAAATATATAAATTTCACATTATTCACTATTTTCATTTTTTAGTTTTTTGTTTCAATATTGTATAATATTTGATGAAACCAATGATTAATTTTTTTATTTGTTGATATTTTAACACATGCTTTCCATTTCTCATTGTCCTCATTCTCTTATTTATTAGATTTGTTTTCTTTATTCGTTAAAAATAAATATTCCTTTAGGTTTTAAATTTTTAAAAATGATATTTGATTAAATCAACCATCTATTTTCTTTATATTTGTTTTCTTTTCTACAATTTTTATTTTTATGAAAAATATAATTTTTTTAGTTCACACCTTTCTAATTTTACACTTTAATTACTTATATTTCAATTTAGTTTAGATATTATTATGTTATATATATTTTCTTAAATTTTAGATAACAATTTTTTTTTGTACGTGTTGATTTTAATCTATGTGATGTTAGAAAATTGAATCTTTCTTTATATTATATTTTCCGGTATAAATAAGAAATTGGAAAAAAAAACTAAAATAGACGTTTTACCACAGACGTAGGAACAAAAACCTCTTAGAAGAAGAATGGAACTTTCAGAGAGTTCAGAATAAATACTGAATTTAATTTTGATTTTGGGAAAAAACAATTCAATTTAGTTTAAGCAAATAAAAAAGTTAAACAGGAGAGAGAAAACAGAAGGCAAGTTACCTTCAATTCCAAAGGTTTTCACTTTCAGGGCCAAAGCTTCAACCTTTGATTTGCAGAGAGAATCCAAGAGACGACATAAAACAGCTAATAGAAAGATTGTTAGATAGGTAGAGAGATTGGGATTTCCCCATAATTTAATTATATTTTTTTCCTCGTTAATTCAATCCGTATGTTCTTCCGACAATCTCAGGTAACTGATGTTGTTCTAATCTGTTTTTATTAACATCTTTTTTCTCTGTGTTCTTCCTTTTTGCTTAAAGATTATTTTTTCTCGTCGTATTGATAGCTCCGCTGTAGCCATGGAGTCGTGAGCAGATCGGGATCGATGGTTTTGCTAGTTTGATTTTCTGGGTTTCGATTGTTTTCCGTGTCTGCGAACTGGGTTTCGACAAGTTCTTGAATCGGAATCTGGAGATCTTGGGCTTGAAGGCGGAAGGGCTGTGGGTGTTGGGTTTGATGTTCTTGCTTTTCTGGGTGATGACTTGAGTAGAATATTTTTCGAATCCGCAGTCTGAATCCATTTCCCATTGGATTTGGATCGATTGATTCGGAGTTCGAGACTCGCGAATTTGGCCCTCGAAGGTTTGGGTTCGTGGACGAGAAGAGGGGAATTTGTTTAATCGTCTTTTGTTGAATCAGACTCGCGAATCTCTTTTCACTCGATCGATTCTCTCTGACATTCTGTGTTGTTTCTCCATCGCGGGATCTGGATTGAATCCTGGCGTGGAATCGATCTGCTTCTAACATCATAAGCTGTAAGGTGAAGACATGTTGGAAGATCGGTCAGTAGACTCTTGTCTTCTGTCAAGGGTTTTCTCCAGCTCCTGTCTCTCCGAATCCAAGTGGTCTTTCATGTATCCGGGAGGGGATTCTGATAGTAAGCTCGTTAATGGAAAACGGCCATTGGAGGTTGTTGAAGATAGCTTGACCAGAAACAAGTCCCTTAGGCTAACAGGTTATTCCATTGCCGAAGAGAAAGAGAAGTATGATTCTGACAAAAACCAGTCCGAGGCTGTCGGAGAGGAGCAAATAGATGATGCAAGTGTTGGAGATTCATCTGAAACTTCCACGGGGCAAGGGGAAGAACAGCTCGATTCCAACAGTGATGGCAGCGATTCATCTGACTCGCATTCACTTATCCAGGGGATTGGTCGGGACAACTCGATAAACTGTCTGATCCATTGCTCGAGATCCGATTATGGATCCATTGCATCATTGAACCGGACCTTCCGTTCTTTGGTGAGGAGTGGTGAGATCTACAGGCTGAGGAGGCAGAGTGGATTTGTTGAACATTGGGTGTACTTCTCTTGCCAGCTCCTGGAATGGGTGGCCTTCGACCCGGTTTCGAGAAAATGGATGCAGTTGCCAACCATGCCCTCCAGTGTCATCTTCATGTGTTCGGACAAGGAGTCTTTAGCTGTTGGCACCGATCTGCTCGTGTTTGGAAAAGACGATTCTTCTCACGTGATCTACAGGTACAGCCTTCTGACCAATTCTTGGTCTTCCGGGATGAGAATGAACTCCCCGAGGTGTTTGTTTGGGTCGGCAAGTCTCGGAGAGATCGCAATCTTTGCCGGTGGCTGTGATTCTTACGGGAAGATTCTCGATTCAGCCGAGATGTACAACTCTGAGCACCAAACTTGGACAACCCTTCCAAGGATGAACAAGCCGAGGAAGATGTGTTCGGGGGTTTTCATGGATGGAAAGTTCTACGTCATCGGGGGAATCGGAGGCAGCGACTCTAAGCCCCTCACCTGCGGGGAGGAATACGACATGGAGACCAAGAAATGGACGGAGATTCCCGACATGTCCCCGCCAAGAAGCAATGCGGCCCGAGAGAGCGAGATGCCGCCAGCAGCAGAGGCTCCGCCCCTCGTGGCGGTGGTTAACAACGAGCTGTATGCTGCAGACCATGCCGATATGGAGGTGAGGAAGTATGACAAGGAGAGAAGGAAGTGGTTCACGGTGGGGAGATTGCCTGAACGAGCTGACTCGGTGAACGGATGGGGAATGGCCTTTAGGGCGTGCGGGGAGCGTCTTATAGTGATCGGAGGGCCGAAGAATTCGGGTGGAGGGTTCATAGAGCTGAATTCGTGGATACCGAGCAATGGACCGCCACACTGGACGTTGCTCGATAGGAAACACTCTGCTAATTTCGTTTACAATTGCGCGGTTATGGGATGCTGAAACGAAGAGAAGGAAAAATAAGCATCAAGAAGATTTGCAACAACACATTGGGATTTTTTTTTTGTGGCTTACAAAAATTTTAGAGACCAGACAGGTTCAGAGATCTTGTTCTTGTTCTTGTTCTTCCTCTTTGTCCTTATTTATTTGCTTATAAAGTTCTCTTCCATTGAATTGATTTACCTCTTGGTGTTCAATTTTGGAGACCAGACAGGTTTTGATGGGGAAAAACAGATAATGGGTTTTAACAAGTGAAGTTCATAATTAGGGTCCGAGTGTCTCATACTATATATGCCCTAAACAGAATTTGATTAATCATATTATCATATAGGGTGGACTGTCTCTTGTGTGCACTAATCTGTGTTTTTCTTTTTTTTTAAAAAAAAATTTGAAGTACTGAGACAAGAACATGAGCTCTTATGTTGTACAATTAAGACATTTTTGGTCATGTGTTTCATGTAATTCGAAGATCATTTATATTTATTTTAGACAAATTTGGTAAAGCAAAAGCAGAAGAAACATGTTCACACCACAAAGACAGAGAATGAATATGTTCAACCAAACTTTAAAACACCAAACAACTATAACAAGGAAAAAGTTTCAGGCTCTGATAATGTTTCTTCAGCGGAGGCACTGCAGTTCTGAAACTTTAAAAGGTGGCCGGCAAAAAGGCTCTTCCCGGCTCCCGTTTTGCCAAAGGTCCATGGCATGACAGAAACTGCAACCGAAATTAGAAACCTGTTTCAGTTTTAATGAGAAACGATTACCCGATTGCATCCATCGCAAGTACGAGGAGGTACCTTAGCATTGACACCATCAGGAACGATGCGTTTCTCTTGCCTAAACTTCAAGTAATCAGCCCGGCTGAACTTTGTGAATCCCCTGCAAGAATTTCGTGATGGGTTGTTCAGTTTCAATACGAGTAAACCAACACAGACTTAGGTTAGGGGAGAGGATGTGTCCAGAGACAATACCATTTCCTGCT